GTCATGGGCGACCTCAACCGCCGCAAGGGCATGATCCTCGACAGCAGCCAGCAGGCTGAGGACGCGGTGCTCCAGGCCCTGGTGCCCCTGGCCGGCATGTTTGGCTACAGCACAGTGCTGCGCAGCAACACGCAGGTCTGGGGGTGGGGTGGGGGTTGCTCGTGGGAGGGGTGGTGGCGCTGGAGCTGGGCGGGGGCCGCGCTTGGGCCGGGGTGGCGAGGGCACCGCTTTGCGGGGCGCGGTCTCAACCTTGCAAGCGCTCGCCGCACGCGCCGCGGCGCTTGTCTGTGCTCGCGGGCGCCGCGTGCGTGGCGCAGACTCCTTTTGTGGTGGCCACAGCTTCTTGTTATATCGGTTGGCCTGCATGGCACTCGCCCACTCCCTTTGACCTGCGCCGCAGTCACCGCAGCCACCCACGCCCTCTCATCGGCCCCATGCTATGCCCATCCACACCTGTATCACACCCAATCTACTGCACCCTCGGTTGTAGGGCAAGGGCGAGTACACGATGGAGTACAGTCACCACGCGCCGGTGACTAAGGACATGCAGGACGAGCTGACCGCGCACTACCAGAAAGCGCGCGCGGCCGGCAAGTGACGGGTGTCGAGTGACTAGGAAGGGCAGTGGTACAGCGGTACGGGGTGATGGCCTACGTATTTGAGCGCGCCGTGCTGTGTGGGGGAGTGTGCGGCTTGCCGGTTGGTTACGGTGCGTCAGGGTGTGCGGTACCATCTTTCTTTTGATGTGTGGTGAGTGTATGTTGCTCCAACAACAATAATGTTTCCAACATGGCAGCGACTGCTTCGTCGCTTCACCCTCTGTCTTCTTGTGGGCCTGTCAGCCCACGGGCACTCACGCAGGCAGGCAGTGCGTTCAATTGAGCGCCTTCATCTCCTCGCAATTTGCGAGTAGGGAGTGGGATGAGGCCAATCAATACGTACACACAGGGTCGCAGGTATTTGCGCGTTTGTGCAGCCACTGGCGTTTCCTCTATGAGCTGTTTGACCTGGTTTTCGGCTCCTGCGCGATTCTCTGCCAAGCAATTGGCGGCATGCAGCGGCCTGCGAAGCCCTGCTGACCTGCCTCCGCCGCGAGGCGGTGATCTCTCTTTTTGCTGTGGTGCGTGGCGTGGGTGGCATGCGATCACGGCACGCATGCGACACGCGGGTAGACCCTCTGTTTTGGCTGTGCTGTGTGTAATCAGCTGATACCTGGCGGATAAAGTATTCTCTTGCTGTGGAAGGCAGCCTCTTTCTCCAGTGGAGAGTGGCCAGCAGCTCGCTGGTGTGCCGGCAGATGCAGTGTCACTGAAAGCTCACGAGGCGTCAATGGCTGTTCATCCAATTGTAAGAGTCACAAAATAAACGATCAAGTTGTTTAACTAGCTAGAACCGCAGACATCGCGTCCCTTCCACGAATCCGAGCTGCGCATCCCCCGGACGGCTTTGCCTACCTCCGCTGCCTGCCAGAGTAGCATAGAGGGTCTTATTTGATCGTATAACGTGTTTGAATATGCTTGGGGCTTCGTGACACGCACGGACTGCGCATCTGAGGTGCGACGGCCGGCCAAAGACGGAGCCAGCTCCTACTCCTGCTCAGAAAGCACGCGAAATCCTATCGCGCAATAAGTTGTTATGTGCGGCTTTGAAGGGCCAAACGTCACCTCTGACGCGCCAAGATGCCCCGCTCGCGTCGCTTGCGCAGTTGGCGACGCGCGGGTTCAGGCTCTTGACACAAGGCAAGGCCGCGGCGTGCCCAGCCGGCCGACGGCCGAGGCAAGCATGGAAGGCTGCCTCTCGCCTCGAATGGAGGCCGAGGTTGCGCCAGGCATGGCGTCGGCGGCCACCGACGCGCCTGGCGCGTCGGTCCTGCGGAAGGTGCAGGTGGCTGGCTTGCTCAGCAAGTTTCGGGATTCTAACATGGCCAAGAAGGCAGCCGACATGATAGGCCCCATGCTCAGCGCCAGCTCCAGCCCCCGCAGTGGCCGCAGCTTTTCAGGCGACGGCGCATCGCCGTTTGCCGGGCCAGACGGCGCGGCCGTGGCCGCGGCAGCAGCGGCTGCGCAGCAGGCCGCCTGCAGCACCAGCTCCGATGGCAGCAGCCTGCAATGCGAGTCGCCCCTTTCCATGCAGGGATCCGCCCTGTCAATTGCCTCTCAGCAGCAGCTGCTGCTGCGGGAGCAGTCCGCAACGCAGCTGCCCCAGCATGAGCAGCAGCAACAGCAGCAGCAGCAGCAGCAGCAGCAGCAGCAGCAGCAGCAGCAGGCGGCCGCAGCCCCGCAGCAAGTAGCCCAGGCAGGAAGCAGCCCATACAGCTCCCTGTCTGCGGCAAAGAAGACCATCGGGAAGCTCTTTGGCGGCGGCGGCAGCGGCGGCGGCCAGACGGTCGCCAGCGCTAGCCCCAACAGCAACGGCCTCATCGCCGCATTCCGCGCCATCATGCCAAAGACCAGCAACACATCCAGCGGTGAGGACACTGAGGGGGGCCTGTTCAGGTGCACGCTGCAGTTATGCCGACAGACTTGCCCGATTCAATGAGCTTGGGAAGCCCCTGGCGCGCAACACTAACTACTTGGGGCGCAAGTTCCCCCATGCTGGCGCTTAGTGCGTGGTGCATCACCCGTGTTGCCTCTCTCACATCCACGCCTCCGTTACCTTCACATGCACTCCCCAGGGTCCGGCAGCACTGAGAGCAACGGCGGCGGCAGCGGCGCAGGGCAGCAGCAGCAGCAGCAGCAGCAGCAGCAGCAGCAGCAGCAGCAGCAGCAGCAGCAGCAGCAGCAGCAGCAGCAGCAGCAGCAGCAGCCCTCGTACGCGCCGCCACCGCTCAGCCCCGGGCGTAAGAGCACTCTGCTGGCCATCTGCCCGCACCTGCCGCCGTCAATGCAGCGGTCTGAGTGGTGCCTGGATGACTACATTGTGATGGACAAGCTCTACACTGGTTACGCCTCTGTGGGTAAGTGGGAAGAACTCTGGCGTGAACTATGCGGACTGGGAACGGACTGGGCGCAAGGCATCCGTTGCAATGCAAGGAACACGCTGGGATGAGGGATGCTTTGCCAAGCAACACAGCAGCATGCTCCACTATCGCCCCGACCGCAACTGCCCCCGACCGCCACCCATGCATCCCTCTTGCAGTGTACAAGGGCATCTGCAAGCGCAGCAAGGAGACCGTGGTGCTGAAAAGCTACACGCTCAGCGCCATCTGCGAGCTGTACCAGCACCAGATCTACAGGGAGGTGCGCCTGCACAGCAGCCTGCAGCACGAGAACATCGTCAAGCTCTACGCTGCATTCAAGGTTAGAAATCGATGGAGCTGGGTGCATGCATAATGTTATATCTGAGCCCCGCGCTGCTGAGGTTCTAGAATCCTGGGATGTGTGCCTGGTTGGCAAGTACGGGCATGATTGCGCTGCCGTGCTCATCAATGCTGCCTGGCTGCACAGGCGTCTTTTCACGCTTGTTCGTACTGCAGATACGATCCTGCGGTTTGGTTGCAGCTTCACCACAACGTTTTCAATTGTTTCCTTCACAGGAGGGCGACCGCGTGGTGATGGTGCAGGAGTATGCCGACGGCGGCGACCTGTTCAGCCTGCTGCAGAAGTACGGGGGGCGCCTGGGCGAGAAGGTGGCGGTGCAGATGGTGCTGGACCCCTTCCTGCGCGTGCTGCAGGTGAGCCAAAGGGCGGACCGAGCGAGTGCAGGGTGCCACTACGGGCGCCTGCTGGCTGGGCTTGTCACTAAGGGGATTGTTGGTGATGGCACCGCCATCGGCAGCTGTGCTGCAGAGGGGTGTCAGGTCGTTTATTGCCGTGAAAAGGAAGGTTCGTCTTGACGCGTGCTCACGTCGACACTGTGTTCCTCTCTCATCCTCAACAGTACCTGCACACGCGCTGCATCGTGCATCGCGACATCAAGCCAGGTCAGCAGCAAGTCTGCATGGCTTTCCACCGCGTGCAGGCGACTGCATTTGCATAGTGTGGGTTTCGCAACAGCGATGCCGATAGTACATCCAGCGCTCAGCTGGGTGGGAAACAGTCCAACATCAACTGGCTGAGGATTCCAACTCACAGAAGCCCACCTGGGCGTCGTGCTTCCCATGTGACCCTGCATCTGCCTTTTCAGAGAACATCCTGTTCACCAAGGGCAGCATGTGCCTGAAGCTGGCGGACTTTGGCCTGGCAATAGACCTCAGGGAGGAGCGCGCAGTCACACGCGCCGGCACCCTAGGTGAGTTACCCCCTGGCGCGCTGCCACTGTCAGCTTGCTGGTCCGTGCAGAGGCCTGGGCGAACAACCCGACTTGAGGATTATTGCTACACACCTTGCTGATCACATGGTTGCACCTGCCCCTGCAAACATGGACATGTTGCTGCTAAAGCTTCTTGTCAGCCACAACGTGCCTGCACCTCGCCCTCACCCCTTGCAACTCAAAAACTTGCCCAGACTACATGGCTCCCGAAATCCTGAACTGCCCCTACAAGAGCAAGCCTGACGAGAACAAGGAGAAGGAGCACCTTAGCTACGGTGAGCCCTCGACGTGGCAGCCCACAATCCATCGCCTAGCCTGGTGCAGCAACCCTGAGCTTCGGGGCCAGCGGAGCTCGAGGGTGGAGAGTCACTGGCCTGCGCTATTCATGACGCGGAGCTGTGCCCGCGCCCGCCAACGCGCACGAGCTCTCTTGCTTGCGGTCCTGTGCGGCGCAGGCAACACGGTGGACAGCTGGGCGGTGGGCGTGCTGACGTACGAGCTGCTGGTGGGCTGCCCGCCGTTCTACGACCACAGCCGCACCAACACCGAGACGCGCATCAAGAGCAGCGTCCCCGCGTTCCCCGCCGTCATCACCGAGGGGGCGCGCAACTTCATTTGCGAGGGTGAGTGGAGGCGGGGCGCGGCGGGGCCTGCAGAGCAGAGGCAGAGGCAGGCCTGCAGAGCAGAGGCACGCATACTACGCATAGTATGCAATTGTAAGACCCTCTTCCCACGCGCTCGGCCCCACACCCCTGGCCCCACACCCCTCATCTCGCACCCAGGGCCTGCCTCAACCCTCTTCCCTCCGGCCCCACCCTCCCATCGCCACATCCGTTTTCAACCCCGCAGCTCTCTGCAAGGACCCGATCGCGCGTCCCACCTGCCTCGATATGGTGCACCACCCCTGGATCGAGCTCTTCCGCGCGCGCCGCTCCATGCGCTTCCTGAACGCCTCGCCCGCCGCCATCGTCGCCGGCGCCGCCGCGGCGGCCGCGTCGCCGCCGGCGGCGCGCGACGAGAACGCAGCGCTCGCGGCGGCGCCTGTGTCGGCGCGCGCGTTTGGGGAGGCCGCGCCGAAGGCGCCCAAGGCGATGCTGCACGCGCTGACTCAGAAGCAGCTCGGTCAGGCATGCTCCCTGCAGCGCATCGAGGACATGCTGTCCGAGGATAGCGTGCGGTCCGCGGCCAGCTCGCCCTGCCTCGGGTCCCGCGACGCGATCGCCAGCATCGGGCAGCTCGCGGCGGCGGCGGGCGGCCACGGGAAGATAACCGCCCTGGGGCAGCTCTCGCGCATGGCGGGCGACGGGAAGGCGGCCGGGCAGGCGGCCGCCCCAGCTGGATCGGAGGATGCCTGAACACCCTCGAGTGCATTTCAAAGTCCGGATTCGACGCCAGCACCACTAGCGGTGCCCTACGGCGGCCTCGGGGGCACCGGCAATGCCCATTCCAACGCGTGGATGACCCCACTCGCCTGTACATACACGCACTGCTAGCCTCGTCCAGACACACAACTTGCAACTTTATCCTGCAGCCCAGGCCCCTCTGCAGCCTTCTGTTTTCTCGCACGGCCTCAGGCTGCCCACGACATAGTTCAACCTGCTTCCTGCCTTGATGCCCACAGCGCGCCAGCACAGGATGGGGCGTCTCGTAATTCGAGGCCAAGTCATATCCTCGGTGCTGTGGCCGGGGCTCTTGAAGCCTCGGTTCCACACACCCAACCACTCTTTCACTGCGGCAGTGCGGATGGCTTTGGGGCATCCCCCTTTTCCATCTGGTGCCGCGAGACGCTTTTTTGGCGCCCGACCGGCTTTTGCACCCCCCCTCATTCGTCAAAATCTGCATGGAGCTCGCCGCGAACGCATCCCAAGCAGTACTCTGTTTTGGCGCCGGTTTTTGGTGGGCGTGGTGAGCACAGGCGGAGTGAGTAGCGCTGCCGCAGGCGGCCCAGACAGCGGCAGTCGAGCGCAGCGCCTTCAACGAGGCGCGCGGGGGCAAACGCTTACCACTTTTTTTTATCGCGGCATGCAACCAGACCAGGGGCCCCCGCCCTGCCGGAATGAGACATTATTTTGAGTGTGCAGCAAAGTAGATTTGGGTTGGCAGGCTGCCGCAACGCATGATTTGACTTGCGGACGGAGGGATTGCCGATGTTTGTGGCCCTTTCCCAGGCTGCACTCTCAACACGGGGGCTGCCAAATGCATTGCAATGGGCCGCAATGGATGCATTCTAGTACATAAACAACATTCATGATCCCACGTCACTGGCAGGAAAGGCATTGAGTGTAGTGCGGGCGCGGTACGTGGACGTGCATGCACAAAAGCTTCATTCACATGACACGTAAGGCAGCCCACACGCGCGCACAGCAAGGCAGGCCTTGGATTGAACAAGGCCCATGCCGTTTGGATGGATGGACAAGCAAGCAACCGACACGGCACATTCTGTGCCTGTCACCGCTCACCTGTTAGCAACCTCCCCTGCAGCCGCCATGGTGGAGTTCTGCGGGGGATAGGGGCGACCCCGCAGGCGAGCGTCAGCGCGGGAGTAAGCCCCGTTGAGTTGGTGGGCGCCTGGCGCGCCCACTGGCCACTATAACTGTTTCTATGGCGAGCTGCCCGGGGGCCAGGCGCGCAGGCCTCGCGGCCGCGCGCTGGCGCGCCGGGGTCCTGTCTGCTAGGACTGGCACTCTCTGCCTCGTCGCCCGGGGACTTTCGCCCGGCTCCGTCGTTCTGACGCTGTGGGGTGGGTCCTGCGCCGCCGGGCGCGGGTGCGGCCGGCGGCGTTCTCCCATGGGTTTGCCGTCGTGGCCCTCCGCGCTGCGCCCACCTGCAGGATCGCTCTTGAGGTCGGCGGCCGGCCGGCCAGTCGGAGAGGGTGGGGTGGCTCTCGAGGGCGATGCCGAGAAGTGTCGAGGGGCAGCAGCACATCAGAGTGTAGCAGGGCTCTGCGGGCCGGTTGGAGCGTCATGGTGGGAGACGAGGCGGGGGGCAGAGTGAGAAGGGGGCATGCCATCTGTCCGGGTGAATGCGGGCACTTGAAAGAGTGGGTGATCCGCGATAAGCCTCAGATAGTGGTGCATGTAAGGTGTCTCTCATACCCGAAGGTCGGAACCTGTTGGGATAAGTTGTCGTCCTAGGCAGCCGCAGCAGCAGCCCACATCTCTCAAGCGGGCGACTCACACATGGACAGAAACGCAGCGTCCCTGGGCTACCCCCCCCACTGCTCACAGTGTGGTGTAATGATTTCTTGGCAGGCCCCGCAGCTAGCAGCAACGACAGCGGCTGCCTGCTCATGCACACCCTCCTGCAGCAGGCGGCGGCTGCAGCATCGCTCGCCAGGGCTGTCCTGGGGACGCCTGATGCTGCGCACTGCAAGTAGATAGGGAGAGAGGACAACAGATGCCTCATATGCGGGCTGTGGGCTCGAAAGCGGGGCCCCCAAAGCCAAACGGGGAGCAGGGATCGGAGTGGTGCATGAAAGTCTCTGCACGGGCTGGGCCCTCTAAGAACAGGTCTGTGGTGTGTGATTATCGTCACCTCCCTGCGATTGCCCCGGGACAGCATGCGTGCCAGATCGAGCTGATCTTGGCGGCGTGCAGTCTCACCTTTTGGAGGGCGGTCGATGACAACGCGTGAGCCATAGGTGTACTAGATGGATTGTGGAATGGTGTGAGAGGGGCCATTCATGGGTTACGGTATTGAACACACAAAACTCATGAACGGCAGGCACGCAGGTGATCAGGTGCACACATGTCAGGAACACTTTTAGCAGTACCGTATGTCAACTTCTCCTGAGAGTACTGTCAACCAAGCCTTCTCTCTCGCACCAGGTCGCAGCATCCCTGATCTCAGACCGCAATAACACTCTAGCGTCCTTCAGAATATTCGTTCTCATACAATTCACCTGTAGCTGCTGTATTTTCGCGCTATCCGGGCCAGTCGCTTCGGTTGACCTACTCCCGCAGCTGCACACGAGGGGGCCGCATCACCGGCCGAGCGCAGCTGGTCTTGAGTCCATCCACTGCCCTCCTACGCGATTGTGGGGGCTGAGCAGCAGCGTAAGTAGGGACTGAGTGCTGGTGGCACTGCAAAGCTCCACCAGCGGTTGCGGCGGGCAAAGCAACAGCAGCATGGAGGCTCCGCAAGTGCAGGTGCGCTGGGTTCAAGACGCGCAGCAGCCCAGCTCGGTGCCACCTCCCAGGGGCCCGCAAGGCAGCAGTTGGGCGCGACCGTGGATTCCATGCGATGACACACGCGGTTGGTTCCAGCGGCTTGCGCCCCTGACAGGGAATGTGCTGTGCTCCTCCCCCAAAAGATAGACACGACGATGGGCAGTTTCACTGTCGAGCTCTATTACAAGCACGCGCCAAAGTCGGTAGACAACTTTGTGAAGCTGGCTGACAAGGGCTACTACGACGGCACCATATTCCACAGAATCATACGCGATTTCAGTGAGCGGCCGGCCCCACCTGGTTCCCCTGACAAATGTCGCGGGGTGCCCACGCAGCTGCTGTGCCTTGATTTCACAATGCCTATTTGGAGCTGCGGGTCCCTTGATCCTGTTGGCCTGGACTCAGTTTGCTGCCCTGTGGTCCCCCCAACTCACAGTGATACAGGGCGGCGACCCGACGGGCACCGGCCGCGGCGGCGAGTCCATCTATGGCAGCAAATTCGAGGACGAGATCACGCGGGAGCTGAAGCACACGGGCGCGGGCATCCTGTCAATGGCCAATGCGGGGCCCAACACCAACGGGTCGCAGGTGAGCGGGGCGGCGTGTGCGGTCGCCTCAAAACGACTGTTGCTGGAATGGCAGACCAGCTGGCAGCGACATGTAGGCAGTGCATGGCGAAAAAAAGGCCACGTTGTCGAAGCTCGCTTGTCGATGCGTGCTGCAAAGGGCAGCTGGTGTCGCTCGGCCACCTGCCCCTCTGTGCACCGCGCTCATTGCCATGCTTTGCGGAGCCCCATTGACCTTGCCCCATTGAGAGACTGTACCAAACAACGTCTGCCACGCCGGCACAACGCACAGTTCTTCATCACGCTCGGGCCAACCCCGTGGCTGGACGGCAAACACACCATCTTTGGGCGCGTGTGCGGCGGTATGGGCGTCATCAAGCGGCTGGGCAACGTCCAGACGGACGCGACCGACAAGCCGACGACGGACGTCAAAATCTTGCGGGCGCGGAGCGTTGATTGACCAGCGGGCTTTTGCACGCTCTAGTGGTGTTGGGCCCGGTTGGATCGCCATGCTGCGCTGGCTCGCGCGACAGCACATGCGTGGAGTAACCCTCTTTGAACGTTGTCAATGCGCCTGATTGGCAGGCGGCTTGCTTGCCGCCGCTACGGACGATCCAACGTCGCAATGTTCATGACATGCACCGGTGGTGGCAAGAGACATCTCGCGTTTGCCACCCATGCGGGGGGGGGGGGAATGCGGTCAACAGCAGCATCATTGGGATGGATCAACTCCCCCGTCTCAGCCAGAGTGGAAAATTCCATTTTTTGTGATGCTTTGCTGCAAAACGCACGACTGACCGACTCTTGCTAAGTTGCGCGTCTACGTCGATCTTGTCAGATCGGTGTGGACGGTCTAATCCATTAGTTGCGATACCATACATCCATGAGCATATTCATTCAATGTAATTGCATCTAGTTTTGCTTCTCAGGACCAGCCTGTTTGCGCAACGCACGCAAGCAAGCTCGAAGGCACCCATACACGATCACGACGCACCTCAACAGGGATCAACAGGCGCATCAGGCTTGTCTGGGGCCGCAGCGGCAGCGCAGCGCGCCCCGCGGCCGCCGCACCCAGCATGACGACAAACAGCAACAGTGTGGTGGACGATCCCGGCCTCGCGGCTGCCTCGCCCCAGTTGCCGGCCACTGACAGCCCTGAGATGGGGCATGCGACGTATGCAGGCACGTGCGGGGCGGCGGTGGATGGCACGGCCACCGCAGGGGAACGATTGGGTCCGGTGTCTGATGGCGACTTGCCCGCGGCTGAGGCATATGCTGCAGAGGAAGGGGTGGCGCGGATGGAGGAGGATGCAGCCCCTGACTATGAGCGGCAGGCAGAGCAGGATGCAGAAGCAGAGGCAGACGGCGCCGCAGCCATGGACGTGGACTGCCAACCCAACGGCCTGCACAGTCATGCAGCGGCGAATGTGACCCCTGCAGGCCCAGCAGAGGTTTGCCCTGCAACAAGTCAGCAGCCGCTGGTGCCGCCCACCACCACCGAGTCCGCCGAGGCTGCCAACGATTCATTCAATGAGGTAGCTGCAGCTGCGACTGGCAACACCAATGCTGCAGGCGCGGCGGTCGCCAACGGCACAGGTGCGCGCAACCGCGAGCACGGCGCCGATGCGAGTGGCAGCAACGGCGGGCCCAAGGGCTCTAGCAGCGGTGACGGCACGGATGGTGGCGGCGATGCTGAAGGGCCCCACGCCGGTGCAGGCCAGGGCGGCGTGACTGGGGAGCAGCGCAGCGGCGGCGCCGGCAGTGGGCAGGAAGAGGGGGATGCGGGCGGCGGGGGCGCTGACGGCGGGCAGGAGGAAGAGGACGAACACGAGGAGGAGGAGCAGGAAAGCAGGGAGCCGTCGCCGCCGCCGCCGCCGCCGGCGCGGCCTGCGCGCGTGCGGCGGCCGCCCAGGCGGTTGGTCGAGGAGGAGTCATCCGATGAGGTGTCAGAGTCATCGTCTGAAAGCTCTGACGGCTCGTCAGGCCACGTGTCCGGGTCGCAGGACGGGTTAGGGTCGGGGTCTGAGGAGCCTCAGGGGAACAGCGGCGGCGCAGAGCCCCCCGGCGGTGGCGGCGTTGCGGGTGGGGAGGAGGCCGAGGGTGCCCTGCTCGGCGGCGCGGGTGGCGGCGGCAGCAGTGGCTCGGGGAAGGAGGGGGGGACAGATGACGAGGAGGGGCCCAGCCAGCGGCCGCCGCCCAAGGCGAAGGCGGCTAAGCAGCCAAAGGCGGCCGCGCGCAATCGCGCCGCGCGGCCGTCGAAGCCCGCCAAGAAGCCGCAGCGGCGTCCTGGGAAGGATGCGCCGCCAAAGCAGCGGCGGCGTGCGACCAGCGAGGAGGAGGCAGATGAAGGGCATGAGTCAGAGGAGGACCAGGCCCAGCACACGGGATCTGATGCGCAGGACGAGGCGGAGCAGCAGCATGACTCAGCCTCGGGGTCCGACGAGGAGGGCCGGGGCCAGCAGCGCGGGTCAGCAGCGAACGGCGGCAAGGCGCGCGGCGCTGTCAAGCGGGGCCGCGCCGGGCAGCCCGCCGGCGGCGGCTCGAGGGGCGGCGCCGGAGGCGGGGCCACGGGCAGCAGCGGCGACGAGGCGGCGGCGCCGGCGCGCAAGCGCGGCCGCCCGGCCAAGCGGCGGGCCTCAGAGCAGGGGGGAGCCGCGGCCGAGGCGGGCGGCAGCGGCGGTGGCGCTGTGGAGGAGGACGAGCCCGTGGCGCTCAGGCGCGGGCAGCGGCGGCGCGTAGCCAGCAAGCGGTGGCTCGAGTCGGGCGGTGATGGCGGCGCGGATGAGGTCAGCGAGGAGTCGGGGGACGAGAGCGATGAGGAGGACGAAAGGGAGGAGGAGGGGCAGGACAAGGGGCAGGAGGAGGACGAGGGGCAGGAGGAGGACGGCAGCGGCAGCGGGGACGAGGCGGGCGCGAGCGGGAGCAGCAGCGACGGCGAGCAGGGGGATGACGAGGGCTCCGACGACGAGGAGCGGCCTTTGGGCCGGCGGCTACGCAGCGCCTTCAAAAAGCCAGCCAGCGGCGCCGCCGCCGCCGCCGCGCGCGCGGGGCCCGGCGGCGGGAGCGGGAGC